AACAATTGGTGTAGAGTATTACTACAAAAGCACCTAATAGTTTTTCTTTGCCTACCCTAAAGAAGTTACTTATATAATTACAACACTATAAAAAAAATTATTTTTAATCTATTTTTTAAAATTGTTCAAGGTAATGCTTGTTTTTAATATATGTACCACCTCTTTTTACTGTGAGTTTATTTGTTTTTAAAAATAAAAATCATATGTAATTTAAAATTTTGAATATTTTTATATAGAAAGTTAAAAAAAAAAAATTATAATATTAAATATAGTTATTCAAAATCATGTCCTTTTAATCCGAATCAATAAAATTGCTCATGGTCTGGCTTGCATGGCGGGCGTGGAGTGGATCCTCTGTTTGGGCTAGAAATGTCCCACTTGCTCTTATGTCTCTAATGCATGACGAAGCTTTGTAGTTTGGATTTCAGCTTAGACATTCTAAAATATACATAGAGATATAGTTATAACTAATTTTAATCTATCTATTACCTATCTATATTTATATGTACACTATTATATATAAGTAAAATTGTTGTTAGGCTTTTGATCTCTAAAATTCAAACTTCAATTTCATAATTTTTTTTTAATTTATAAACTACATAAATAACGTGGCATGTTATCATTGGTTGTTCAACTTTAAAATTTTAATTGATTCCTTGATTACTATGAAAAAACTTTTAAATTTATTAATTTATAAACTATAAATAGTATCTATTATCAATACTATATGTATATAATTTTAAATTCATTTTTTTATAGAAAGTCAAGAAAACATTAAATTTAAAAATCTTTTAAAAAATCCAAATATAATTTTAGTTAAAAAAATTTCCAATTATAACTTTAATCTAAAATTTGAAGCGAAAATTGCTGAGAAGCCTAATTTAATTTGGTATTAGGTATTCGGTCCAATGAATATTTTTTATTGGTGAGAGGTCTACCATTTGTAAAATAGTTTAGTGAGAAATCCTTTTGTTGTTTTGAATGACATTTTATTTCTAATTTTACCCCTTAGTTTATCTATTGAATTTTTTTGACTACCTGTATATTTTTTTTGACAATATATTCAAATATTTTTTTATCTATTTAATTTTTTAACTATCTGTTCAATTTTTTTTGTCTTATTTGTTCAAATATCTGTCCAAATTTTGTTATATGTTCAATTTTTTTCCTGAATTTTATTTGTTCAATATTTTTTATTTTTTTAATTTGTTGAAATACAGCCAAACCAAATCATATTTATTCAAATCCACAAACCAACTATCTATTCAATATGAGCCTTTACCAGATCTGAGCTCAAATCTTAAATATATATAGACACAAACATAATCTATCTGTCTATCTCTCTCTCTACATTTCTATGATTTGTTTAAATTCAACACAAATTTGTTCAATTCATACATAAATCTGTTCAAATTCACACAAATATTATCTGTTTGTTCTATCTGTTCATCATCATCATCAACAACAACAACAACAATCATCAACATCAACATCAACATCAACAACTAAAAAAAAAAAGGATCTAAAATAGATCTACTACAGATCTACAATATCAAATCTCTTCGTACAGATCGGTCAATATCATGTGAAGATCGATGATATGCAAAAGAAAAGTTTGGTTAGGGCAACCAACATTTCAATAGAGAATTTACATTTACGCATACATAGAGAGAGAAAGAGAGAGACCTTGAGATTAGTGAGAGTGGCAGAATAAGTATATTGGAGAGAGTAAAAAAGTATTTGAGCATCCTTGGTAGTCGACGACTTTCCTATTTCCAACATTTCTTCTCTTCTTTGAATCTCTCTATCTCGTTCTTTGTCACCAAAATACCGGGAACTGCTACCGAGTTCGTGAATCTCAAAAAAGACAACGGCGGTGAAACGAAGAGTGATAGAGGCGAGACAACAATGATGACCTAGATAGGTGGTCAGTCGGCGACAATTGAGGTGATGAAAAGAAAGAGAAAGAGGGTTTGGTTGACAAGGTCTGGAGATGGAAGAGAAGAGAGAGAAGAAACGGCGTATGCAATGTATATATCCATATGGGTATTTTGGTCATTTTATCTAAGTATGCCCGTATAGACAAAGTATTTTAGAAGGTAAATTTTTAGCCAAACAAAATTCAAATTTAGATTTATGGATCGAGTGCCCAAATTTGAACATATTTACTTTATAATATTAATCCAAAGTTATTTATTTATTTATTTATTTTGAAAATTAAAATATACATGTGACACAAAATACATCTAGCCATATCTAACTTAAAATAAAAACTATATATAGAATTTCAAAACAATAATTTTAGGCTCCATTTGGTTTAGTTTTCTATGAGTTTTATAATTTTTTAAAAAGAGTTTTAAAAATTGAAAAAATTGTTTGGTTATGAGTTTTGAAATTAATTTTTAAGTTGTATATTTTGAAAGTAATTTTTAAAAATTTGCAAATTGAAAACTTGTTGGGTGAGGAGTTTTCAAAACTAGTTTTCCAAAAGAGTATTTTTGGGTCTCGTATTTTTTTTGTTTTGCAATCAAAACATTTTATAATATTATAGTTAATTTTATTTACTTATTTTACGTACGTAATCTAAATGTACTTTCGAATAAAATATTTTTAGAAGAATTCTACAAAAAATCAATAAATATAATAAATAAATAAATAAATATATATATTGAATTTTGGGCATTCAGTCCATAAGTCAATTTTTGAATTTGTTCAGTCTAAAAATTCACACACTAAATTATTGAAAAATTCTATTTTCGCACACCTACTTACCTCAGTGCATATCATTTCTCAATGCACACACTTATTAATTTGGTTTTTAATTATTCTTCTCATTCCACACACTTGATATTCCAATTATATGTCTACTCAAATTGTCACCTAGGTCCATAAGAGGGCCTGTTAACCAATGTTACTTTGTGCACAAAATTGATGTATGATTCCTGATCAGGAGAAAGTATTGGTTTACTTCGATTCTTCCATTACACTTTGTTCTACCTGATTCATATTTTTCATAACAATAGTCTGTTGAACTACAATTATGAATAGTAACTGGCAATGGACACATAATTTGCAATGCTATCAGGTATACTCTAACATAAAGCAAACTATAATTACAAAACTCCAAGAGCGGAATGTATTTATGTTTTATCATAAATGCAGTTTTGTGAATTTTTTTTTTATTTTTTTGCCTTGAAGTTTTACCATTTGCATTATTACACATATTTTTTTATTTAATAATTAAAACATATCATTGATGGTAGGATAGCAAACAAACAAAAAAACCAAGTGTAGTTGTCATGAAAACATCTTTTAATAGTCTTTTCAAAAGAGAAAAAATCTTAATTTTACTTGATTCTAAATATTGATATTATAGATTCAAACATTCAAATTTTTTTTTTTAAAAATAGTTTAAACTTAGGTAGTCTTATATATATATGCGTTTTTAAAATTTGTTTTTAATTAAATTTAGAATAAATATAGAAAAATAATATACAAGTCCACTTTCTACACCTATTTTCCAAACCCAATGATGTGTAAGTAATATGATTAGTTAATGATTAGAGAATATATAAGACAGAGTGCTATCTTTAATATCTTAATTGATTGTTACATTATTAGGTTTGAAAATGGGAACATTTTTTTTTTTGGTCTTAAATAGTAATACTTATAAATTTATTGATTATTGTTTAAATCCGTGCATAACACGGATTATATATTAGTATTTTTATATATTTTTTTAGATAGGTAGTATTTTATAATTAAAAGGTTAAAAAATAGTACAACTTATAAATGAGGAGTTAAAAGTAGTATGAGTAATGTTAGAGATCCACACATTTGATCTATAAATTCGCTTATAATGATATGACAAGAAAATGGAATCTTAATTGTTAGAGCATCTCAAATGGTTCATCATTTTTTTCATCAAATCTGAATAAAAAAAAGGCGAGTTTCTCAATCTGATATCAGCCGCTCCAACAGTGCACTATAACTTTCATCAAAAGACAGTGGATGTTTAGAGAGACGATTGGCCGGTCAACCGAACAAAGAAAATGATTTTTTTTTTCCACACTCAAAAACTTCACCTGATTTCAAATTTTCATGGTTTTTGTAAGGGTAAAATGGGTCTTGGTTAGAAACATCTTCGGCATTCTGATCCCAACCAAAACCCCTTGATGTTGTTTTCAGAATTGTTTTCGTACTTTTCAAGTTTTATTTCTCTCTACTTGTCATTACTCTGTCTGTTTTGATAATTGAAATTGAAATCAAAACCAGATAAGAAAAAAGTTGAATCAATAATTTTCACTCACACTTTTGGAAATGTAATGAAAAGAAATGCAGTCCCTCAAACAGTTTCAAAGAAATCAAACGGGAAACACAATAATTTTCACTCACTTTTTTCCACACTTTTGTTTCCTTAAAAAAAGATACAGAGGTGGTCGACCGGGGGGTCGACCTTGTAGTGTAAAATTTTCACAAAATTTTGCTCGAAGTGGTCATCCGGCCGGACGTCTAGCCGGTCGTCTAGTGAGTCCACACTCAACGGCTATACACAGTAAATTGCTAAAAGGTGCAAGGGATTTTCAGTTTGGTACAAATTTTGGGACATTATCAATTTGATATCATTTTGGTGAAATCGTTGGAGCACAAAAAATATATTTTTTGGGAATAATTTTTAAAATTTTTTTTTGGTTAAAATAGTATTAAAAGATAAAATAGGCTAAAATAGCTAATAAGACAAAATGTCACATCAAACTCATAATCATTTTACTTTTTCTCTCACAAACATCACATCAAACTACAAAAAAATCCAACTATTTTCCAAAACACAAAAAATTTAGCCTCTTAAAATAGTTAAAAATTAAAATAGCCTACTAAAATAGCAACTTACCAAATACACACTATATAAGCACATATTTTATTTTTTTACATTACATCATTCCTCTATTTTTTAATATTTTTCATAAAAAATAATAAAAAAAGCGCTTATATTTAAATCATTTCAAACCTCCTAGGTCACACGCGAACGAACGAACGAACGAACGGAGGTAGAGAGAGAGAGAACGAGGGAGCTTGTCTGAGAGTCTCAGCAAAAGGGGTCGATTCTCCATGAATTGATCTCGAATTACGCAAGGTTTGAATCACTTCTCATTTAACTTCTGAAACCCTAAAAATGCTATGTATGCACCTCTTGCTTTTGTACTAGTTCATGAGACCCTAGATTGTTGATTTGTTTGTATCTTCTTATGTTCTTGATGATATAACAAATGCTCCGTTTGGCTGCTTAGAAAACAAAGGAAAACACAAAAAAGAAAGAAATGGAATCTTGCGGCGTTGGAGTGAGTTCTTTTGTTTTCCAATTCCGATAAATTATCGGGCATCAAACGGAGAGTTCATTTAGTTGTTCATGTACGTACACATACACGTATGTTCGGCTCTATGTAGCTGTGTTCAGAAGCATAATAACGTGATAAATAAGGCTATTTACTCTTTTCGGGTGTAGAAAATAGAGAAATTAGACTTCTGATTTTTTTTTTTTTTTTGAAAGATCAAAAATTTATTTAATTTAACGTCATACAATGCTATCTACTATTTGGTTGTGTGTTTTATCTGGTGTCCCGATTTATTATGTCTTTGTTTAAGATTCTAGTGGGAGTGACCAGTAGAATTGAAAAACTGAGGAGAGATTTTTTATGGGAAAGTTATGACGAGGGGAAGAAATACCACTTGATTATTTTGGACCCGATTTCTCTTTGTAGGAGTGAGGGGGTCTTGATGTAGGTAATATCGTGGCTTTTGACATGGCATTGCTTGGAAAGTAGTTGTGGAGATTTTTCATTGACAGGATTCTCTGTGGCATTGTGATATTTGGAATAAATATGGTCATCAAGGTAATAGATGGGACTCTCTTGTGGTTAGACGTGGGAATTATAGATTCCCATGGAAATCTATTTCTCAAGTGGTTTATTCCAATGTCGGAAATGAGGAAAAGATTCGATTTTGGGAGGATGCATGGATAGTCTCTTTTAATCTGTTGTTCACTCGGTTGTATTGACTTTCTCAATCTCATAATGTTCTTATTGCTTTTATGGCTTCATCTCATTAGGTTTTGTTATCTTGGAATTTCAATGTATATATATATATAGATATTTGAAATTTAAGGACTATGGGTCCAATGATTTGGTTTATTTTTTCTCTCCTTGATGATTTTTCTTTTAGTAATGGAGTTGTTGATAGGAGAGTATGGACATGTAGTTTATCTTCTGTAAGTACTTCTTTGAAATGATTATTATTAATGTTCAAGTATGGACATGTAGTTTATCTTCTGTAAGTACTTCTTTGAAATGATTATTATTAATGTTCAAAGGGTTTATCCTTATATGATGATTTGGAATCCATATGTGCGTCTTAAAATTAAAATCTTTGCATGGTCCATGGCTTCTCTAAAGGTCAATACTAATGACATGTTTAAGAGGAGGAGACCCAATTGTTTTTTACTTCCATGTTGGTGCCTTATGTGTAAGGGGAGTGAGGAAAACTGTAATAACCCTCACGCTATCCTAACTATACTCATATGCATCCATGTGTTTCTGTCTTGTAAACTTGCATTTCGAGTCTTGTCCTTGTTCGTTTAAGTGTTACAGCATGTTTTGTACCTTGCTTGGTGAGAGTTTAGCCGAGGTCGTCTTCATGTCTAGAATTATCGTGGAACCACTTTGTTTGACCTTCACCTTTGCCCCGACATATTGGCCGAGATGTCATTATCTAGGCCGAGGTGTCCATCACCAAGGCCGAGGTGTGAATCATCTAGGCCGAGATGTTACCTTTGCACCCAAGTGATCTTGTCCCGGAGTGGTATGACCTAGACCGAGGTGTGGCACATCTAGGCCAAGGTGTGGCACAGCTTAGTCAAGTGTTGTCCTTCCTAGCCGAGGTCATTATTCCCTACTTGCCGATGTCTTGTTATTAGCCGAGATTATTACTCGCCAGAGTGCCCATGCCGTCTTGCTTGTTGAACACGCTTTGTCATAGTTTTGTTTTGTCACTCAGCCACCTTTCTGTGTAGCACCAACCAGCCGCTGCCACGTGCCCCTGTAGAGGGTTAAGTCAGCCAGCAGACTTAGAAATGTATCATTTTGCTATATGTCTTTGTTTGTGAAGAGAGAGAGAGGCTCTAGAGGAAGAAGAAGTTTAGAGTGAGAGAGTGGGTTTTCACGCTTGATTCCTAGAGATCAAACCATTATATTCGCGTATTGAGGTTAGATTATTGATTTACTCTTGTCATTCTTATTGATCATTTAGCTGCATTGCATGATCGAACTCGTTTTGCATGTCATGCATCGATTTAAAGCTGGTTTTAGAAAGAGAAAAATGGTGTTCATGTGTTCTTGAAAGAAAAGTCTTGTTTGATCTGAAAGTTTGCATTAAGTTTCATGTTTTTGTGTTTGTTCTCACAAGATCCTTGAATATGGGTGCCCAGGTCCATGTTTTTGAACTCATAGCATGAAATCTCAGATTTCTTAATAGCAAATCACGATCTTTGCATTCATCTCCCTCATGTTCATCATGTTTTCCAAGAAAGGGAAATCCAGATTTTTCCCGACTTCATTCCTTTGAACGTGGCCATCGAGGCCACACCTCGGCCAGGGGATGTGGAACCTCGGCCTAGACCTGGTAGTTGCCCAGCATGTTTTTCTGAGATAAAGAACTGGGTTGTTTTGATTCGACTTAGTCTTGAGGAACGCCGAGATCATTTGCATGCATGTGAAACTTGTTTGAAAGTGCATTCAACAGACTTTGCCATGTGTTTGTAGGGTTTGGACTTGCCTTGACCCCGACGTTTGAAGAACTAAGTGAGTGGTATTTTTAATAAAGTTATGTTATAATGCTTTGATAAAGTCTTGTTTTGCTTCGTTTTGGATAGTATTTGTAAGCATGAATGGTTATTCCTAATCGGAAAATATATATATCTTGTTTTGATGACATTCTTGGAAAGTCCGTACGTGCTAAGGGACTATAAGCATTTGTAGCACAAAGTTTGAAAGTCCGTACGTAGTAAGGGATTATAAGCATTTGTAGCACAAAGTTTGAAAGTCCGTACGTGCTAAGGGACTATAAGCATTTGTAGCACAAAGTTTGGAAGTCCGTACGTGCTAGAGGACTCTAAGCATTAGTAGCACAAGTCCTTAGTGTCCGGGGACTATAATGCAACGACACCATTGAATTGAGATATCTCCCTTGTCTTGTCTTGTTTGCCACTGACGGTTTACCGCGTGGGTTTGTTTTGCCGAGATGTCATCACTTGTATTATAATGATGTTAGTAAGCATCCTTTGAAACTTGACAGATTTGCTAGATGGACTTGGTTCCTCCTTTGACTTGCACTAATTATGTTATGTATTGTTTGATAAAGATCTTGAATACCAGTCATGCAAACCCCTTTATTTCTTATACCATTCACTGAGTATCCAAGCTCACCCTCTCTATATATATATGTAGGTGATGAGCAGGAAGGCGGTGACGCCTAGGTGTGACTCGCAAGCTTGTTTTGGGTATTTGTCATGTCGGCTTAACTTGTATACATGTCGGTAGTCTTGAAAATTATGCTTTTCGGCTTATAATGCTTGTAACTTACACATGTCGGCTGGAGAAGCCTTTTGATCAAGATGAAAAATGTATTTTGTACTTTATTGTATTTGTATCCAAGTTGTACTATTATGTAAAGTTGTATGGCATTCCATGTAACTTACGCACTGCTCTTATGGACCACTTGTATTTTAAGATTATTGCTTCCGCACTTGTGAGCCCCATATATATAATTATACTCTGTTTGTGTGTGAATTTTGTAAGTTGGCCTTCGGTAATCTCGGATTACTGGCCATTACGGCACTAAACTACTAGGGGCGGTTTGGGGTCGTGACAAAAACATAGATCATTTGTTCTTGCATTGTTCTTTTGCTATAGCATTATGGCATTTTAGTTGGCGGAAATTGAATTTGTATGTTTTGTTCCATGTGTTCTGATGTTTATCATTAATTATAGATGTTTTGGTTCCACTAAGAGGACACAAGTTCTTTGGACTTGTGCTATTTGTGCAGTGATTTGAGTTATTTGGTTGGAAATGAATGCAAGACCACATTAAAAGCCACGTTATATATCTCTCTATCCAAACATTATGTCTCAAAGAAAAATTATGAGCAATAGCTAAGAAAAATGACAAGCCTTTAAGCTCCCTATCATTTAAATTTCTAAAAAAAATTGAAATGCCAAAAAAAAGGAGTCTCATGGGAACGAGCAATAGAAGCATTCTAAGACCGAGATAAGCAATAAAGACGCGGAAACAAATGATCAAGAGTCATTCTCCAAAATGAATATACTTCCCATTTCCAATCATGAACCAAATGGAATATAAGAAATGATTAATATCTTGAGAAATTCACTTCCATGGGGATCTAGAATTTTCTGTATGAACCACATAAGAATCCCACACTTGCTTTTAATCGCAGATTTTCTAGAAAGCTTCTCGTTTGTAGGGAATCTCCATAACCTGACAATACCTTGTTCTTATCAACACTATTTCCATTGACAAGATCCTCTTTGCCTTTTGGAAGTGAGACCACTTTCCAACTCAGCAAATGATCTTTTTTTATTGATCAACTTCAAAAGAGAGATTTTATTAAAGAAAAGAAAATATTATAAAACGGGGAGGACTAGCAGTCCACCAAAAAGATACAAATAAAAAATCTGTCTTCACCCACAATCCACATGAAAACAAAAAGAAGTCCCTCATCAATTTTTCAATTCTATTAGAAATTGATAAAAATAAATATGGACACTAGAAAAGACTTACTGAACCAAAGTGTGCCCCTCTCTAAAAGTCAAAGTCATCTTCTAACCATCCAATCTTTTCTCGATCTTTACATTGTTAGGAATCCAAAAGTTAGCTCACATAGGAATGCCTCTTAAAGGTGGCCTTAAATACATAAAGAGGCATGGACTTGATGGGACAAACCTATCAATGTGGCCATCCTATTTAACCTATCTGTTGGAAAATTGATACCAATAATGGCACTCATTCAAATTCACCCAAGGCTGAAAGCCACATCAGAAACCCTCAATATGGTAAGCAAATTAATCAATGCTATTCTCATCACCAGAAGAGAAAAAGATGATGTCATTTGCAAACTGAATTTGAGAGACAAATATTACCCCTCCCTATTAGAGGTCATCGACCAAGCTTGACTCTTTAGCTTTATCAACCATTCTTGTTGAGACATCACCACTAAAATTGAATATGAAAGGAGATAAAGGATGCCCTTGTCTAGGGCTTGTAGAGGCCTTGAAAGCAGCATTGTCTTTTCATTAACTATAACACATAAATTACTTGTGGACAAACTACCATGAATCCACTTTCTCCACCTATCCCCAACTGTTTTGTGAGTATATGGGTAGTGGTTTTATTCGATGAGTTTGTGGGTAATTGTTGTGATAGGTGGTGGTGGTGTTTCGGGTAGTGCTGACAGCAAGTTAAGGGTGGTGGTTTGATTTTTGATGGCAATGGTGGTCGTCTATGAAGCATGGACACCTCTCCGAGGGCTCCGTACTAGTGTTGGACATGTGTCGGACCCGGACACACGTCGGACACGCGGTGCACACGTGTCCGACATGCAGCAGAGAGTGTCCCATTTTTTAAAATTTTTTTTTACATCCGGACACGTTTCAGGCACATTATAGACACTTTCGGGACACGTTCGGGGGGTAATTTCACAATTTACAACATGTTTTTGGGGTCGATTTGTAAATAAGTAAAAACAGATCAATATTTGCCCTAATCTACTTCGATTAGAACATAAATAGAAGAGAAAGGGTGAGAAAGAGAGGACCTGGTCGATTCGTCGTTCGTCTTCACTTTTTGTCGGTCGTCGCTCCTCGTCGGTCGTCTCTCGTCGGTCGTCACTCATGTCTCGTCGTCGCTCGTTAAGGTACACGCTGCTCTTCTTCTTCGATCTTCATTCTTCTTCTTCTTCTTTCCCTCAGTCGCTCTCTCTCTCTCTCTCTCTCTCTCTCATAGCCTCTGTCTGATCTTCTTTCCTTAGTTGCTGTCTCTCTCTCTCTCAGCCCCTGTTTGATTTTATTTTATTTTATTTTTTCTTTTATATTCTGATTTATTTTTTATTTTATTTTATTTTATTTTTTCTTTTATATTCTGATTTTATTTTTTCTTTTCTATTATTTGAGTATATAATTTTAATAATGTATGTTTATTAATTTTATTATAGGAACCAATTTTTAAAGGAATGCAATGTTTATTTTTTATTATTTTAATAGTGTTATTTTGTATATTTTATTACCTTTTAATGATTTTTTTATAATTTTATGACATGTAAATAAAGTTAATTATATATATTAAACGTATCCCCAGCGTGTCGTGTTCCCCATTTTTTGAAAATTTGCATGCCCGTGTCGTGTCGCGCGTCCGTGTCCGTGCTTCATAGGTGGTCGTGATGGCATCAATGTGTCATGTCATGTGCAATTTGAATGAGTTGAATGGGGATGAAAGAGAAAGAGAAGAGGTGGTATTCTAGGGTAGAGGTCTTGGTTGTCATAGATGCTAGTGTTAGTGGTGTTCTGGGCAGGTTTGGTTGGTTGTGGTGGTGACGAAGATATGGGTGACACGTGGGAGATGAAGAAGATGAAGTGGGGTACTTTTGTTAGTATACTGAAGCAAAAAATAGAATAAGAATAAAAATTTGGCAGAGAACTAGGCAAAATTCGACAGATGTTGTTTGTAAGAACAAACACATGGCTAACATAGTTATGGTTTGTGACATTAGAAAAAGAAAACTGTACACACATTGATTAAATGGAAAAAGTCACCAAACATAACTAAAGATAAAAAAGCAAACTATTAATACAAAGACAAATAATAAAATATCCCAAGTGAAACAAGGAAACCCTCTTAAGTCCTCCTAAATATAAGAAGGCACGGATATTTTCAACTAGTATTCACATAGTTACTCAATAATGCACCACTCTCCTTTCGCTGTTTGCTAAATACTAGCAATTAATGTTGATTTGGCATGCAGTCGAAAGGAGAGGTAGATTATTGATTTGGTTTCCATAAATTATAGTAGAAAAGCTGCAGATGACTTTAAGGTTCTGATTGAGGAGGCTAAGTTGGTTATGGGGTGGGCCAACAAAAAAAATTGTGGTTCGAAATTGGAATGGTGTTGTTGATAGGCATGTAGACGTGAGTTGTCCAGAGATGATGGTGACTAATAAGTTTAAGAGGGAGGAGATTTTTGTAAAGTTGTTAGATGGAAGTGAAGATGACATGTGGAGTTCAAGTGCTAAAAAAGTGTGAGCATGGGTTTGTTAGAGTTGACTTGGAAAGGAATTGTGTTTTGGTGAGGAATGAAGGTGCAAGCTTTAGGCGTAAGTGGGTAAAGGTTTTGATAGGAATGAGTCAGTGGACCGGAGAGCACCACATGTTTGGGGAGTTTGGGTGTAGAGGACTTGGGTATCCAGGCTGGGTGTGGAGTATTGTACAAATTGGCGGGGTGAGCAGCTTGAAAGGTTGGATGGAGCCATATTTGGTTTAGTTTGCATTGAACTCCAAGTGCTGTTTGTAATTCTTTTAATTAGACTAGGCCCATTGGTTGTTTTGAGGACTTTACTAGCAGGACAGCCTGTGTCAGGTTTTGTACTAAAGTCCATCTTATATATGTTAAGGAGCTTATCCAATGGCTAGTTCAATTTTAAAAGAGGGTTGTAGAGTGCACGATCTCTTACGTAGAGCATGATTCAACAAAAGGGGAAGGATCTACTAATTTTGCCCACAATTGAGGGAGCCAAGCTAGTTGCTAAGCATGATGTTGAAGGGTCAACACCAATCACTTCAGTGGATCAAAGTTTCCAAGGTTTGAAGGCTTATCTGTTTGATGGTTGTAAGTGGTGGGGTCTTCGTGAAGCATGGATAGTGGTGAGTCAGCGGAGCAATGGGTGGTGGGTTCTAATTGAATTAGAGAATTAATACACTAAGGGGATGGAGTGGGCTGAGGCTGCTGGTGATGAGGGGTCAAATGGAGTGGTTAATTTGGGGTGTGGAGCTGTGGCGGGGAAGTGTGAAGGTAGGGATTGGTGGTTTCAGACAGTTCTTAGTCCATGAAGTGTGAAGGGCTTAAGGTGCCGTTTCTAGAGTCTTGTTCCCTCTAGTTGTAATCAATCTTGATGATGGGGATTTTTCTGTCTAGTGTGGTGAAAGAAGGAAGTTGGGGGTTTGAGTTGGGATCTGATATAGGGAAGGGCTTTGTTTTAGGAGGTTCATCTCAATGCGAATTTTCTATCGATGTAGGACTTTCAGATTATTGGTGAAGTAGAAAAGTTTACCATCACAAATGATAAGGGTGGAAGCTCAAGTGAACAAGTTGAGCAAGTGATTAAAAATAAGTTAATTACACTCCCCTTCAACAATTAGTGAATATCTATTTACCTCCCTTACCTTTGAAGTTGTACACGAGTTTAATGGTGAGGGGGTTAAATTGATATTTGCTAATGGTTGAGGGGGTTTGGGTGTAATTATCCCTTTTATGAAGAAGTTGGTTGAAGTAGACAATATAATGATTGAGGATGGTTCAAGCTGTGATGTTTTTGAATAAGAGATTTTCAAGGCCAAGAAGAAAAAGGAAGTGACGAAAGTATCTTCTAACAAGAAAAGGAAACTTAGAAGGCTTCTATGTTTGGTTAATTATGATTATGATGGTCAAGGGGTGTGAGGCTTTAGCATGACAATGTTGTGAGGAAGTTAAGGATGGGTGTGCAAGTGTGATGTCCCATTTGGGTGGTGAAATTTTACCACAGAAACTTGGTGCTGTTTCTGTCTTTAATGGAAGAATTTAAGAGGCAATTCAAGTAGCATCTAAATGTCAAATATGCTGTTTTTTAGTAAATCTGGAGGAGAGAAATGGAAATCCATGTTTGAAATAGAGGAACACTTTTGTGAAATTGGCTCAAATTTTGAGTTTTGTAGTAGTCAGGTCAGGTCGTGGATGTTTCTATGGGTTGGTTAACGGGTGTAGTGCCTACACATTATACCTTTTTCTTATTTTTTTTCATTCTCCTTTTATTGGATTGTTTTTAATGGTTGTGCTTCCTTGGCACTTTCTCTAAAGTGATTTTCTTTTTATTGGGGGAAAAAAAAAACTGAGGTGGACTATGGAGGGAGTTTTTAGAGATGTGAGAGATTGAGCTTAGTAGCAGGAAACTCTTACTTGGCTGATGTTTTTTAACTCAAAAACTTGATTCCTTACTTCCAAGTAAGAAACTTTTAAGAAACTCACTGGCCAATTTTACACCCCAAGCTGTAAGGTTTATAAAGCCGGTTCATATATGAGGAGATAATTCTTGATCCAAATTCTAATGCCCCTATCCCAACACTAATGCCCCCCTAACCCCAAAATGTGTCAAATGTATATTGCAAATTAACATTTTTTGTATGCATAACATAATGAAGAGATATTGGTGCTGTCAGGTGTTAGCAATTATGGAGTCAAACACGCTGTATCCGTCCCCAGAAAATGCTGATGCAAAGGCAGCATTTCGTAAGCCTTTAAATGATGCAGCTAACAGGAAGTATAGGCGTCGGTCTCCAGTTGGTGGATCATCCTCATCTGATGGTTAGTTCTTCAATTTTTGTTTTGTTTTTAACATTTACTTCGCTGATAATGTTCGTAAAGAATTAGTAAATTGAGATTGTGCCTTAGTTGCTGGGGTTGTTAACATGTTATCCATTTGATGTTTGTGATTCCTTTAAAGGTTGATAGTAATATGGATTGCTCAAGTTTTTTACTCTGCACTTTTTCCTTAAGGATTTTTTCCCCCTCAAAATGATTGGTTGAGTATTCATAGATCACTTTGGTACAAGGAACATCTATCCGTGCCTTTTCCATATTATTGTGCTTTTCTTTTATGGGTATGATGGTTTAAGAACTACTTTCTTCTTAATGGTCATATTGAGCAATGACGAGGCTTCTTGTAGGTGGATGTTGATGTGTAAAAGATGGCATAATGTATACCTTCCAGCTTATTGCTTTGAAACTTGTGATCAGCATTATTTTCTTCTTTTCCTCAATAAGTTGATTGCATTTGTAAATTTAGAAGGAACTTGTGCATGGGATATTCAGGTGCTAGACATCCTTAAACTCGTGTTCATTTTAGCAGTACTATACCACAAGGTTCTCATCTTGTAGCTACGGGCAGAAGCTTATTTATGTGTTTGTATGTAATGTCACAGGGTGCCAATGGAAACTTTTGAATGAATATAAATATTAATGTCTAGTATATTACTCTAGTTCCATTAGTTGTTGCAGACTTGCTTGCACCTTTCCATGTCAAATTGCTAAAAATGTAATTTTGTTTATTTTTAGTATAATAATTTATTTCATGATTTATCAAAAAAAAAAAAAAAAAAAAAAGCCTTAAGAATTTATTTCTCCATCTATCCCTTATTACTTGTCTTAGTTTAAAGAAAAGCATATTTAAATGATAAATTTACACATGCTATTTTTCTTATTTGAATGGTTTGTTTGGGAATTTGATTGAATTTAACTATAAATACAAAGTAGGGTAATATTTCATTTTCATACGTAAAGTATATAGTAGGGTAGTATAGGAAAATGGTGAATAGAAATTTTCAACTTTCCTAACTAAGATACAGAGGATGTGACTTCCAGAAATGGAGATTAACATACAAAATGAGACGGAGGGAGTAGAAGTATGTTATGGTAGCTATGCAAGCAGATAACAATTATGGAGGTTATGTTTTGGTAGAATTATGCTTTGGTGTGGGACCGGTTTAAGGTTTTTTGGCTCAGCCCTGCGCCATTCTTGCAGTGGTCATTATGGTGATGACATGGAGGGCCTGAATGGTCGTATTGACACCCTTATCATGAAACATATATGTCAACGTTGGCATGTGTCAATTGTCTTTCATATGCCGGTTTTGCTGGCATTCTTCTTGAACCCTTACTTTTTTTGTTGGTAAGCAACCATGTTACTAAGGATTTGTATGTACCAAAGTTATTTTTGTTTGGATATATATAGTTTTTTGATGCTTTTAAAAGTGCATATAAATCCTCATATAAATGGTATCCGAGCATGGAACAAAGGTTTTAATATTTGTTTGGATTTTGACTGGTCAATTCTTGTGTAATATCTTATTTTAGGCCGAAACAAATGTGTGAGAGATGCTTTTTGAATATGTCAATCATAGTTTTCTCTCCAGATCTCAGAACAGTTCTATGGTGTTTTGAGACTCTCGGCTCATTTTGGCCCTAATATTTTGGCTTTAAACTTTGGAAAATATTAACGACAGCCCTTTGAGCTGTCAATAGTCTCTGTGGATGTGTAAAAAGTGTATTGAAATTTGTAAAAAAATATATAGAAGTGAAAATATTTTGGGAGGTGTAAAACATACATTGGGACTCCCAACTTTGTTTGGCATTTGTACCCAGCCCATCGGGCTGTCTTTGGCACGACCCTTAAACTTTTTGCCTTTGTATATATGCAGGGAGTCCAAGACGTGAGCATAGCTCTAGTCCAATCCATTCAAGGGAAGATCCTGCGAGTGACTCTGATCCTCGGCGAAGGAAAGATGATGGGAGGGACTTTGATAGGGATTCTGGTGGGAATCATCATGGCCGAAGTGGTGATTCATACAGGTATTTTGATCGACAGTCGTCTAGAAGTTCTCATAATTACCAAAGGCAGGATGACTATGACAGACATGAAAAGCACACAGCTGAAGTGAAAAACTACTCATCGTCTCGTTCTGGTCGAGAGTCAAGGGTTAGCATTCAATCTGATCATACAAGGAGAGAAAGTGAGCATTACAGATCAAGAGACCATTTGCATGGTGATGACAGGTATTCCCGAGATAGATCTGATGGTTCAGGGAGGAGAAGCAGGGATAAGGAGAAAGAAACTTCATCTCTTGAGTATCAGAAGTATAAAGGCAAGGATTCATTATCTGACCGAGCTGGATCTGGCAGGAGATACACTAACTCCAATGTTGAAGATATAAAGTATGGGGAGCGGGACAGGTATAAGGGGGATGGAGATGGTCGGGATGAAAAGAGGGACTATGTGAGGAGTTCAAGGGATTATAGAAATGATTGTTCACCTGTTCGTGAAGAACATAGGGGGCATCGGAATGACTCAACTTCACGCAGGGATAGTGCCAGACATCGGTTGAAAGAAGCTTCTAAAAGTGACCCTAGAGAATTGGATGGGGAGAGGATTGCCAAAAAGGAAAAGAGGAAATATGATGATCAGGAAACTGGCAGGCACAAGGACCGATATGTTGGAGAACCGGGGGAGCAGCTTGAAGACAGTAAGTACTCTTACAGTGAAAATCAAGAATCTAATGACAAAATGGCAAAACTATTTAGCTTAGGCACTGATTATGGGAAAAATGGTAATTCTTGCATTATCTTTTGTAGTTTTTCCCTTTTAGTGTTTATTTTGCTATTTCTTTAGTTTTCAAGAGGGTCACTTACATTTCTATAATTGTGCGTTATTTGATCAATTAGTTTCGAAGTTTACAACTGGAGCTAATGAAAGACATTCTTCAAGTTCAAAGCAAGCCCAGGAGCTTGTTGTTAAGGTGACTTCAGAGCAGTCCCCTGCAAAAGTTTTGGAATCTGCTAATGATATAGATGCTGCAAAAGTTGCTGCAATGAGAGCTGCAGAATTAGGTATTGCAGTATCTTTATCTAGTGTTGTTGGTATTGTCTCTTGCAGAATTTTTTTTTCTTTTGTTTTTATGATGTTTACTATTCTGAATTTCCTTGTATATGAATATATATGCTTTTATCTATATGAAATTTGTTGAGTTCAATTTTTTTTGTCTTTTCTTTTCAACCATGATAATTTAGCAATATATGTGCTTATAGTTATATGACATGTACGTGTGTAGTTTTATTCTCGAGGGAGTATGTAGCTGTTAGTGCAAGCAGATAATATTGATATGCAAACAGGCACTGATTGATGAATGTTACTAATTTATTAGCTTTTGGCCTTGTTATCTTTTATCTTTGTGACACATTGGTAGTTTATGATTTGTTTGAGTGAAAATTCATTGGTAATTCATTTCTTTATTCTATTGTATTGTAGATACTATAGCGAAAAACTTCACTCTAGAAATATGATAGGTGTTTGTATTTGTATTTGATAAATTTGTTGACTATTAACTCCTCTAAAAGAATAGGCTATTAGAGAGGGGCAACTTTATTATGTACATTCTTAATACACCCCCTCTTGTGCATCTCCAATCTCTCCTCCATGAGTGGGCCAAACAGATGAAAGTTATATAATTATTGGGTAGGTGTTGAGGTTTGAACACATGATCTATTACTTGCTCTGGTATCATGATAAATCACCACTATTTCCAAAAGCTTAAGCTATTAGGCCTAAGAGGCACGGCAAGGGCATGGGACATAGCGATTTTGAAAAAAGGTAGGCTATGGATGCATTGGGATATGATAAAAAAATGCAATTTTTCCACGTTACCCCCTCTTTGTTTGCAAATATTTTACTTTGTTGTCAAATCAGCTTTTTAAAATTTAAAAAAAACCCCCAAAAAGATGTGAATAATACAAAAGGGTAGTACAACAGGGACAAGGAGTCCCTAAAAAAGGGGAAGATACGTACGGTCCTACACCAGACTTCCAAATGCTCTTCCAAGGAAAATAATCTCTCTCCTCACCAATGATTAAAGTGAAAAGATTTCTCCGAAAACTTATCGTTGCCATGTGTCTATCTCATTCCATCCCATCCCATCCCATCCCATCCTATTTCTAGAAATCTCAATTTGTTAAAGGAATGCAACCATTGCCCCGAATTTCCCATTATAAAGGTATCTAATAAGGAGTGGTTCCCTTACCACTGTAAAGTCCTTAGCAGTTTGCTACCGAAGGACTCTTGTTAACCACAATGCTGTATAGGGACTGGGAATGCCACCAACAAAGTAATGCCTTGCACCACACATCATGTCAAAATTAAATCCTTCTTCCATCACCAAGCTCAATTTTCACAACCTCCTTCGATGTCTTTCCACAAACCCACTTCATATGTTTCATGGTCTTTCATGGTCTTCCATGGACATCCATCCCCTTTGAGCGACACTAAATTTGCAATTGATCACTCTCTCCACAACTGCCCATCCTCCTTTACGTATATCCACAGCCACTTCCCAGTAGCTCTTGGTTAAACTAGCAAAAATGGCGAACTCAATCTTGATTTGGAATTTGAGTTCCTTCATCCATATCTTCCCACAACAAAATCTGTCTTTTCACCACTGAATAAGAACAGAAAAGAAACAAAAAATAGGTTGGCAAGCTTGCTGAAGTCCTCTTAATCAACTTTATCACCCTTGAATAAATAGTCTTTTCCAGGCAAGTGAAACAGCCTATGTGAGTAACATGGTTAATATTGGCTAATTAAAATTCTGTGGAAGACAAAAAAAGATGTTTCCAACTTAGGCAATCTATATAGTCATTCAGTCTATATGCTAAATAATCAGGGTAAACTATTTATCAAAAAAAAAAAAAACCACTAATAATAATTAGGGTAAACTATCAATAAGTCCTAATAGTTGGACTTAGTTCCATTCAAGCCCTATTGAAAATAAGTCTTAGTCTAAAAATAACTTTTGTGATATTTTTGCATGTCACTAAAAATTGACAATTAGCGATCTTTTTTTTTATCACGGTTTTTATAAATTGCCTAGACTTACAATTAGTGATGTTTTTCTGTGGCGAATTTTTCAAATTGTTGCTGAAAATTAAAAATTAGTGGTTTTTTTGTGACGATTTTTTTAAACTGTCGCTATAACTTATAATTAGTGACATTTTTTGTGACAGAATTTTCAAACTGTCGTTAAAAATTAACAATTAGTAACGTTTTGATAAAAAATGTCATTCATTCTCACAGGACCTATTGGGTAATGAGTCTACCTAGTAAGAAATAGGCGTAAGTTTCAAATAATTATCACATTTTGACATCAATGCAGTCTGCTAATTTTGTTTGTTTGTTTTTTATTTTTTGTTTATCTCCCGTAGTTAATAGGAACCTCATTGGAACGGGTTACATGTCTACTGATCAAAAGAAGAAGCTGCTGTGGGGGAATAAAAAGAGCACTACTGCTGAAGAGGTATTAATTAAGATTATTTGTTCATGCAGTTTTATAGTTAGTTGTTTATTTATCCTTCTCATTGGCGATGTGTGTGTAGAGGAAGAATGTAGACATAGTTTCAACGCCTAATGTTTCCAAATGGAAAAAGCTGTCATAATTTGCTATTGAGTCATTAAACTCTGTTATGTTAGATTAGTTGGTGCTGGTTGCTTTTGGAGCACCGAAAAGATTTGTAAGTTAGATGGTCCAAATTCATCTGGATATTCCTTCAAACTATATAGCACACACTGTCAAATGTTCTATGTTATTAAGCATCTTTATTGCTAGTTCATATTTTTGTTCAATTTTCTTTTTCAAATATTATACAGTTTGGTCATCACTGGGATACGGCTTTGTTTTCTGATCGTGAACGGCAAGAAAAATTCAACAAACTCATGGTAATTCTCCGATCCTTTCATTTGTTTTATTGTTATACAGTTATACTAACTATGAAACTTAAACTGATGCACCTTTCATTGCTTTCTTCTGATTGATTGGTTGTTTTTATTATTATTATTATTTTCACTTTAGTTATAATTTCTTGCCATCTACTAACACACTTTTAGAGTCTGAGGTTGCCTTGGTACCTATGGCCAATTGTAGGGAGTGAAGGGCGAACTGAAAGTGGAGCACAAACCCGACAACCAAGAAAGCAGTGGCCTCCAAGCCGAGAAGCAGAAGGAACTACAACTGGATTTGGAGAAGCAATACACTGCTGGACTCCGTCGAAGAGATGGCCGAACTGTTGGATTAGGTCTCTGAGAGTCTACTTGGGATGTTTTTGTAGTTGGACAATGACATTTAGCTCCGTTGTGTTGTACTTCTTTGCAAGAATCTTGTCTTTTGTGTTCATTTTTAACTTCTGGCTTGTAAGGGCTAATTGTGCTTTGCCATTTTTATTCAAAATTTTAGATCATGATACAAATAGGTGTTGTGATACATATTTGGCATTATTTGGAACTGAGATTACATGTTCTTGGCCTTTTGAATTTTTGAATTTGGAAATTGTAAGCGTTGTGGCTCAGCTGATCAAGCATTAAAAGTATCTCATGCACCATGACCGTAGCTGTTGTTTCTCATATCCCAAACAGGTCTAGAATGCAATATTATCTTTTGCCGGTAGAGTTATTCTAGAAAAGGGGGTTGTCCAATTGTTACATGAATTGATGAGGATCCATGAAGTCCAACATTCATTCCTTCAAATATGTAGATTGGGAAAATGGACATTTCCTATCTAAAATTTAGCATGGTGTCAATCTATCTCAAGGGCCCTAGTAACCTGTACCAATAACTAATAATTTTGATCGAAAAAACCATTTTAATTTATTTTGTACCCCTCGCTCAATGTGAAAATAAGATTTTGTACTTCTGACTTGAGAAAATGAATCAATCTATGGAGCAAATCTATGGCGTTTAAGGGAGGGTAATAAATAAACAAAAAGGTGAGGAAAAATTCTTAGAATTTATTTAATACTACATAAAATGAAATGGAGAATAGTCCAAAATTCGAATGAACAAATTAAACATTTGAAAAGGAGGGCCAAAGAGATCAATTGAGAAAGATTATCTTATAATCTTATAATAAGATCATAATTAAATCCACATATATTTGGAAAAAAAAAAATTCACATTTATTTATTAATGTGAGTTACTGTAAGAAATGTACGCCTACTCAGCTAATCATCGCTTAATGAGTTGTGATTAATTTTGATATAAGTGTAAAATATGAGAAAAAAATATAACATATAAAACTGTATAGAAATGTATAAAATACATATAAGTGTATAGAAATATATAAAATACATATTGAAATTCTAAATTTTTTTTAAGGATAAAATATAAATACACCTTATAAGGTTTGCTTAAAATATAAACTGCCTAATGTAATTCTAGAAATTACATCCCCCTAAAGTTTCTAATATCATATCAAATGAACCAAGTAAACTACCAATAGGTCCTAATAGTTAAACTTAACTCCCGTTAAGTCTTATTGAAAATAAGTCTTAGTAAAATCGTTGCTAAAAATAATTTTTGTGACGATTTTTTGCATGTCGCTGAATTAGCTCGTTTGGTTGGGTTTTTGAGCATTCACTTTTCAGAAAATTGATTTTTTTTTATATTTTCCTTGTTTTTTTGTTTTCACTAATTTTTTAAAAATATTTTAAGCAATTTTTTTAATTTAGATGCACCAAACATAAATACATTTAAAAAATATAATATTTGTGAAAAAAATCTTTAAAAAATTCACTAAATATCAAAAATACAAAAAAATATGAAAATTCAGTACATTTTCATATTTTTGTGTATTTATTGATTTTTTAAAATATTTTTTTACAAATATTTTACTTTTTAGATACATCTAAGTAAGGTGTATCTAAAAAAGTAAAAAGATTGCTTAAAATTTAAAAAATATTCACTAAAAACAAAAAAAATATGAAAAACAAAAAAATTCAATTTTCAAAAAATTGAATCCAGACAATTGAAACCAAACATAGTGAAATTCTAATTTTTTTTTTTAGGACAAATTATAAATACATCCTATGAGATTTGCTTAAAATATAAACTGCCTAATGTAGTTCTAGAAATTAATCCACCCCTGAAGTTTCTAATTTTATAACAAATGAACCAGGTAAACTACTAATAGGTCCTAATAGTTAAACTTAATTCCTGTTAAGTCCTATTGAAAATAAGTCCTGCTAAAATCGTCACTAAATATAATTTTTGTGATATTTTTTTGCATATGTCACTAAAAATTAACAATTAATGACTTTTTTGTCACGATTTTTATAAATTGTTGCTAAAACTTATAATTAGTGACGTTTTTCTATGACAAATTTTTTCAAGCTGTCAATGAAAGTTGAAAATTAGTGTCATATTTTTTTGTGAAGTTTTTTTTTAAACTATCGCTAAAACTTATAATTAATGACATTTTTTGTGACAACATTTTAAAATTATTGCTGAAAATTAAAAATTTGTGATATTTTTTAATAGTGTTTGTTGAAAAAAGTCATTAATTCACACCGGACCTATAGGACAATAAATTTACCTTTTAGGAGCTACATGTAACTTGTGGCGAAGCTAGAAAACTAAATCAGAAGGGACACTTATTAATTACAATTTCAATTTTTTTTTCCATAACCAACAATAAGAAGATAATAATAATTTTTGAATTAATATTAAGTACAAAAACTTAAATAAATTATTACAATAGTATTTCACAGAAAATTTTAAAAATAAAATTGAAAGGAAATTATTACGTGTACCTAGTGTATCATGGACAATGCAAAAAAATCATATATTTAAGTCTTAAAAAAAATTATATAAAGGTAAGATAAATAAAAATTTTACAAAATTCGAGCAAAAATTTCATATAATAATAATATCACGTTATTATTAACATATAATGTCACTAACCAATAGTAAAGAAACATATGAAGGGTGAACTCTACATGTAAATTTAACTAACACTTTAGTAACTTTTATAAATATAGTGAGATTAATTATATTTACATGTCAATAATGATGGATATTACCTTTATGTTAAGATTTTTTCACAAAATTTTTATACAGAAAAATATAATTTGTTGTAGTCCCTTTATTTTCAATAAAATAATCACTATTATTCTCATAAATTTAAAAATGTCATTAACATTTTATTCTAAATATTTTTTTTGTTTAAAATTTTATTTATATACATATGTAAAAAAAAAAATGAAAATTAAAAACCCAACGGGGCACGTGACCCTTGGTCACCATGTGGCTCTGCTATTGCACGTAAGTCTCCCTTTTATTAATAAGTTTAGTCATTTTATTAGTTGATGCCTGTTCATTCTTCTTAGTTAAAATTTATTTTATTTTATTTTTTATATTTTTTTAGAACAAGGAAAGAAAATTGTAACGCCCTCAAAATAAATCCCAAAAAACAGACATCCATGATACAATAAATAGATATCACATTTCATAAACCAGAGTATTCTTACAGAATTTATTACATGTTGACAACAAAAGTAAATGCCCTATGGGCTTATAACTTTCCAGGTCAACACTTGGTTACAAAAAGGAGAGTACTAACTCTATACAAAATAAGCCCTTGACTTGATATACATGTAATACAAAAAGTAATCAAAAAAGGTCTCTCAGGCACTAAGCCTCCCAAGCTACGTCCTTGGAGGTGGCATGTCACCTGCACCTGAAAATGATGTCCCAAATAGGGTGAGCCAACGTCTAGTAGAGATATGCTAAACATAGTATGAGCAATAACAAAAACATTAGCACTTGATAAATGTTTAACTCATATAAACCAACATACAGTATAATCCCATTTCATAATCATTTACTTATCCAATTCTCAACTTATAAACACGGCTCAGAACCTGGCCAAACAACTTAGATGAGACTACCCCTCATGCCAACAATACTTCAAACTGCCATTTTACGGAAATTGCGTCCGCGGGATTCGGAACCTATGTGTAATTATTTTCTTGTGGCCATTTTACGAAAATTTCATCCGCGGGACTCGGCACCCATGTATAGATATTTTCGAATTGCCATTTTATGGAAATTTCATTCGCGGGATTCGGCATCCATGTATAATTATTTTCGAATTGCCATTTTATGAAAATTTCATCTGCGGGATTCGGCACCCATGTATTCAAATACTCATCATATACAATGATCAATCAATACACAAATTCGTTGTATTATTCCAACCGTCATACTCAATGACATACTCAAATTGATTAGTTTTAATTCACCTAATCATCATGCAGTGTCTACAACAATCAAGACTACCCTCCACCGATAGCTCAAAGCAGTTATTTCTAAACAGATAATAAATGCACCAAACATATAATAAATGCACCAACAGATAAATTATCAATAATTTCAAAGGTGAGTGATTAAAGAATCCAACTCCACCAATCTACCTTATAATGAGCCAATTTCATTATTTCCATTCAATTTCACATTCCCATAATAAATGTCATTAATTACACTAATGACCCAAATATACCCAAACATGGCATTTTCCCTCCTTTTTCCAATATTGACCCAAATATCCAAATATTATCCTTAAACACCTACAATCCCATTTTAGAACCCAAGTACACATGTATTGGCCCCAAAGAACAAAACCCCTCTTCCCAATATAACACAACTCAAACCCTAACTTCCCAAATCAAACCATTTATACAAAAAGCTCAATATTTAGGTTAAAGCTTATAAAAATGAGTAGTTATCCCTATCTCAAATTTGGAGCTCAAAGGAGAAGGTGAAGAAAATCGAAAGTGCTTCAAATCCCAAGATTTTCGGATTGATAGGTAGCCCAAGCCAAGCTCTACACTTCTTACAAAGACACTAAGGGGGTGGATCACTCAAACTAGATCAAACCCTAGAGAGAAGTTGTGTTTTTAGAGAGAGGAGCTCTCCAATGGAGGTTTTGAAAAGTAAGAGAGAAAGAGAGAGTGTGTGTAAAAAGTGATTTAAAATATCACAGTCTAGATCTGATATACGCATGACCCGCTCGAGCGGAGAATAGGATGCTCGAGCGTCAAACACAAAAACTTGACCCGCTCGAGCGCAGAAGGACCCGCTCGAGCGCTAAGGCACAAAACAAAACACCACCCGCTCGAGCGCAAAAAGGAAACCCGCTCGAGCGTAGATTACATCCTCCTAGAACTTTTACAGACATTGAACAGCCGCTCGAGCGCAAAGACACCCGCTCGAGCGCGACCCGCTCGAGCATAAGAAAATTCGCTCGAGCGTGAAAAACACATCTGCAGTAGCTTTGCAGACGCACAAGATATTGAAAGTGTGCAAACTCCACTCGAGCGCAAAGGGACCCGCTCGAGCGGATCACCAAAAACCTGGGCAATAACACTTGAGACCAAAACTCAACCCACCTGTTCGAAACATGCCCAAAACAATTCTAAACTCAATTACTAAGAGTTAAAGGATGAGAATGCAACACAGAGAACAACCAACAACCACAGAACCGGGTCGGAAATACAATAAACATGAGAGGAAAAATCGGGATCGCTATAACCATCCCC